CAGTCCTCCCGGGGGCTCAGCTCCCTAATGAAACCCTCCCCGCTACGCTGCTGACCTGCAGCTGGGCGCAGGCGCCTGACGGGAGCTCAACGCCACAAACCTCCGGCACTGCTCCACGGCGTCTGGAAGGAATTTCCTCTTCAGCTGCTTCTGACGCTTGGGAGCTGCTCCCGCGCCCTGCTCAGCACCCCTGTGCAGCGCGTCAGCTCTCCGCTCCCAAGGCACAGCCGAGCCGCAGAACCCCATAGCGGGTGCCCCCACGGCTCCTGGGAGGCCGGCTGCTCTGCCAGCACAGACCCACTGGGAACTCTGCCACAGCCACCGCGAAGGGACTCCCAGCCCACCAGCAAATCACAGGAGGGGAGCTCTTTGGCCGTGGAGAGATGTCCAGGGATGGAGGGATGTCCCTGGGCTCGTCTCTGACCCCCACAGAGCACAGAAGCCTGCAGCAGACAGCAGGAGGCCGAATCCCTTCCCAGCTGGGAGTCTGAGCTCAGCCACCCTCGCTGCCTCCTCCACTCAGCAGCTTCTCCCGGACAGAGGAGCTGCCAGCAGTGAATGCAAGAGCCCCACCTTCTGCCAGACAGACAGACTGCTGGGAACACAACCCTGTGTGTTTGCAGGCAGACAGCAGTCAACAGCGGCTTTTAAAAAAAAAGGACCAGCACCCCCCGGCAGCGGGACTGGAGTCAGTTGGAGCCTCTTCAGAGGAGCGAACGGGCTCCAGACGGCCACCAGCCCGCAGTGCGGCCGCGGACACGCAGCAGTGCCAGCTCCAGCAGTCCCCACCCTTCCTTCTTCCCCACGGGGCAAGGGGAAGCTCGTGCAGCCTCACAGCAAGCGCGGTGGGAAGCCGATCCGGTTAACAACTGCTCCTGCAGGGCTATCCCCCGCCAGACCAGTCTGCTGAGCCGGTTAGCTGTGCGGCTGCGAGCGCTGCTGCGCGGCCAGGGAGCCAGAATGGCTTCAACCGGCTCGAGCTGCACCGCTGCTCCACACGTCCAGCACTAAGGCTGCATCGTAAACAAACCGGGCTGGGGTGGTTCCAGGGCAGCGCAGAGCAGGCAGGAGGAACTGGTGACTCACGGACACTTCCCAGCCCAGCGCTGCCCTCTGACACCACCCAGGAATTCGGAGGCAAGGGGACATCCAGACAATGCCGCTGCAGCCGTCGCTTTGCCAGAGCCGCCCGAGAACTCCCGCTGGCTCACAGCACTGGGGCGCAGGGCTCTGGAAACAGCCCGCTGCCTGCCAGGGACCCGGGTGCTAACCGTCAGGAGCAAAACCAAAGGCGTGAGCAGACACTTCCCTACGCTCACAACTCCAGAAATTTTAACCATTCTGGCAGTCCTACACCCAGGATGCAAACAAGTCCTGGGGGTGAACAGGCTGCAGCCCCAGCGCTGCGAGGAGGGTGACCCCCCCG